CAGTTCAGAGATGGTGTTAACATTTGAATTGAAGACCTGGGATTATTATTATTATTTGCATTGTTACTTGTGTCACATCACTTTTTGTTACATTGTACTTTTCCAAGTAAATGTGACACTATGGAATATAATGTGATGCAAAGTCAAAAAATTATTACTATAATATGACTAGCTGCTATTTGGGATATTAGCTATTTAGTTTGTATTTGATAAAAGGTTTCAGTACACCTTTTATTGGAAGATGTATGTACTTAACTTGTCTTTGAACAGCTTATGACGACAGAAACTGAACGTAGTAGTATAATTTACTGCCAGCACACATCTCCATTAAATTATATAGACAGAAACCTAATGCCAGAAATTTAATAAATTGTTTTTATTGAAAATTGGGCATAAATTACTGTTGTTTTATTGAATTTGAATACTGTTACAGAACCCACTCATATTATTACTAAGTCACTCTCAAATGTTATTTAGAGTCCAAATGCTTTCTATTTGTAACAGCATTTTTATGAGGCTTCAGACAATTTATGTTCAGTGTATGGGTTTCACAAAGTATTAACAGAATATAGTATACCAAGTTTCTCCTCTGAGAATCCTAGGTGATATACCTAGGTTTGAATCATCTGGTGCCTATGAAATAGCTGAATATTGTGCTTTTTGGACAATGGCCAATTATGCAAACTTAATTTTGTTTGCTTGATTAAGGTTTCTGTTTTTCCTAAATTGAAGAGATTATTGAAGTCACCCAAAGTGCCTAGTAAGATACTTCTGCTGGGGTCAGAAGGCATGGGTAGAATTGTGTTTTTATTTTTAAAATAAATAAATAAGTGGAAATATAGTAGATGGTGGAACTTCTGCACAAAATTAGGTTTGCATGAAGAGCCTCTGGATTACAGGATGGAAGAAAGACATAAAATAGGCCCTGATTCTTCTTTCATTTACACCACACCTAGCAGTATGGGGGGCCAGACTTGTTTAGTGTTTATACAAGTATACAGACCTGGTTGTCCTCTCTCTTATGGCCAACAATATAATGGTTTATATTAATAATAATATTAATAATAACAATAATCAAAGGATCAGACTCATAGAGGTGATATAAATGTAGGTACTCGGTGGGCGCCTCTACACGTGTGCATTTACTGCACAGTAACCAAAATTACTGACCAGCATAGGTGTGCTTCTACATGTGCATGCCCGTACTGTGCAGTAAATATGCTGACTTATGCAGACTTGATTGTAAATTTGATACCTGCCTCATGCAGGTATCTAATTTATGCCCAATTAGTTACTGTGCAGTAAGGCACATGAGGATGCCTTACTGCACAGTAACATTGTGTGTGTGGACTGATTTGGGACTAACTTTAGTCCCAAGTTAGTCCAACCACAGCATTAATGCACTTTAATGCCTGCTCATGTAGATGCCAGCCTATTCCAGTTTACTGCACAGTAATTTACTGGATGTTGTGATTACCAGGTTCAATAAATACAAGCATACAATGAATGAGAAGAACTAACAGTAGGCAACCTAGTCAGACCCTTTATCTGATTCTAGGGCCTTCTTACATGGTAAATTTAGGCAGTTTCTAGAGCTCTTAATCCACAGATTGCCTGCACATTAACATTTTTAAAGTAGTTTAAAGCACTCATTATTCATCTTAAAGTTACACTATTCCAGGGCAGAATTATCTATAATCTATCTAATTTTGCTCCTGTTCCATTAAGGTGTGGCCACTCCCTGTAGCTATTACACCCAAGCTGAAGTCTTCCAGCATCCCAGGGTGCAGTGGCCCCTCCTGAATCAGGGTGAACGGGGACACCAAGTGCAGTGGGGCCAGGCATGGCACCTCACCCCCGGCACATTGGGCAGAACAAGCTCCACAGCCTGGAGTACGCAGTGGACGTGGTGTGTCCCACCACCACCTGGAATAGTTCTCTGCTCCCCCTGGTAGTAGAGGTGACAAGATCGTGAGAAAAAAAGGGTCAGCCTCCTTAGAACTCAGGCAGTGCCTGGCTGGCCCATAGCTTAGACAGGGGTGACATAGGGGGTAAGCTTTGGAGAAAAAAAAAGGATCAGGCTACTTGAAGCTCAAACCCAATCCTCACCTAACCAGTCCTTTTTTTTCTCCTGAGCTTGCCACCCCACGATAACCTCGCCCAGGCTGCCAACCAGCTGGGCACTACCTGAACTTCTAGGAGCCCAATCCCTTTTTCTCTGGTGCTCACCCCCACACCACCCCTGTCTGGGTTTCTGACTGAACTAGAGCTGCCTAAGAAACATTTTACATGGGTTCCAATCCTGCCCCTGCTCACCAAGCCTCTAGTAGCAAGTCATAGCTGTGCAGATAAAGAACAATCAAAGATAGTTTTTCACCTTAAGGTGTGACTGTTTCACTAAGGCAATTTACATTTGTGTCACTTACAGTCTAAGATGTAAGAAGTCCTTAACTAACTAGCTTAACTGAGGGACCATCTCCTAATTCCCAACCTCTAAAGTCTAAGTAAGGGAGCATCTCCAAACTACAAGCTCTATTACCACAGAAGCAGTGACAGTGAATCATATAGCCATAGACTACAGACTATTTATGATCTTAAATATATGTATTTTAAAACATCTTGAAAAGCATTGGTTTGCCAAAACATTTATATTCTACTTCTGGCTCATGAGTTTGTTTGTTTGTTTGTTTTTGGGAAGAACATAAATCATTAACATTTTTTTACAATGTCTTATTTTACCACCACAGAGGGGATCTTTTAAATCAAAGGCTGGGTGTTCACACCATAGTTTTGTGCAATTTACTTTAGAGGCATTCAAGGCCCCCGAAAGCATGACTTACGGAAAGGCTGAAAAAACTAGGGTCCACAGAGGAAAAGTGTGAGGGACAATTAGATACTAGTCTTTAAATAACTTAAAGATGATTATCGAGTAGATGGAAATGGGCTTTTCTCTGTGGCCTTAAGAGACAGGACTAGGAGCAACAGACTCAAGCTACAGTAGAGAAAACTTAGGTTGTATTTTTGGGAAAATTTTCTGACTCTGCAAGTGGTCAATTGTTGGAACAGGCTACCTAGAGGAATTGTGGGATCTCCATCCTTAAAAGTTTTCTAGAGAAGGTTACACAGATTCTTGACTCAGGTGGCTTAGTTAGAGACAATCCTGTCTTGAGCAGGAGGCTGGACAATAAGACCTTGTGAGGTCCCACCAGCCCTTCTTTCTTATGATCTGATAGCACATGCTTACTACTAGATGTAGAACCGGCCCAACTATATTTATTTATTTATTCCTGTCAAACTATTGAAAAATTTGATCAAGATTAGTTGTACAATTAAAAAAATTAGTTGCAATTAATTGCAATTTTAATCGCACAGCTAAAAACTCAAAACTATGTACAGAAAAACCTCAAAATTAGGCAAAATTAGGCAGGTACTTTGTATGGTTAGGGATGGGTGTGGGGTGTGTTGGCGAGGGGGAATTTGTGAAAGTGTGGGGGACTGTGGGTGTGTGTGTGTAGGCTTTTCAGCCCAGGGAGGGGAGTCCCCACATGTCCTGGCAGGATGCAGGGTACTGTTGGTCAGGAGTGATGGGCAGCAGCAGGGCTGGGGGTGCTGTGGCTTGGGAGTGAGGGGCAGACACACAAACACACAGCACCCAACAGGTAAGCATGTGGAGGGAAGGGTCACGAGGGAGGGATGGGGGGGTCAGATTGAGGCCCCCATGGTGAGGGAGGGAGTGGGGCAGCAGCAGGGGATGGGGTGAATGCAGCCCTGGGGCCAAGGTGGATCATGGGAAAGGGCCACAGGCAGCTCATCCAGGGACTCAGGGGGGTGGGGGGGAACAGTTCCCTACCACTGCATGCACCCCGGAGGAAGCATGGGGGGCACATGCCCCCCATATTTGTGCATGAGGTAGAGGTGGGCTGCCCGGTGCAGGTGAGGGCTCTGCGCCATGCTGCCTTTGCCCCAGGAGCTGCGCATTGGCCATGCTGCATGTCTCCTGCCCACCTAGCCACGGGAGGCACAACGTGGCATTGCTCAGCTCCTGGGGCAAAGGCAACAGTGCGCAGAGCCCCAGCACACAACAGGAAGCCTGCCTCCACCCCATGCATAGATCCAGGGGGCATGTGTTCCCCATGCCTCCTCCAGGCTCTGCACACAAATCTGGGGGACATGGGCCCCCCATGCCTCCTCTGGAGGTGTGCATGGCAATGGGGAGCCACACCACCCCCCATGCCCCTGGACAAGCCTCCTGCAGCTCCATCCTATCCCTGGACCTGTCCAGAACCCAGGGCTCCATTCACCCCAGCCCCTGCCCCTGCCCCACTCCATCTCTCACCGTGGGAGCCTCAATCTGTCCCCTGCCCCTTCTCTCCACAGACTTACCTACAGGGCTCTGCTCTACATGCTGGGCTGTGTTCCTGGCTGCGTGCAGGCTGCAGCTGCTCATATGTGTCTGTGTCTGTGTCTGTGTGTGCACCCCCCATGAGGCTGTACATGTGGTGTACATGCTGTTTCGGTCAATGATTACATGTCCTAAAAGTATGTACAGTGTTAATGTGAAAATCCAGCTCTATTTTAATTATATAATTAGCTACAATTTTACACTAATTATGAGCAGAGAATTCCAGGGCCTAGAAATACCAGCCATTTTAACTGTGTAATTTGTAAGCTTTGGCAAGCAAGGTCAGAAGGTTCAAGGCAGAGTAAGACGCAGGACAATGGGTTTACCATACATGAACCAACACCAGCTGCTACTATACTTCCCTAATTGTCAAAACCATCTACCTCCATCAGCAGTGGAGCAAGGAAATAACTTCACAAAGAACTTTCCACCCCATCACTTCCCAGGCAAATTCCACTGACTCCCCCAACTAATCACTGAAGAAATCCCAATGCTCATAGAATATTTGGGACATTCTACTGGTAAGGCATTATGATCCATTCTTTATGAATCCCAGATGTTGAAACTTTAACCCCTTTTCTTTGTGTTTCTGTTTCAGCTTCTGATATAGCTGCGGAGCAGGGGCAGATTCTTGTAATTGCCACTGCTGCTGTTGGTGGATTCACTCTCCTGGTCATCCTCACTCTGTTCTTCCTAATCACTGGGAGGTAATTAAAACTTTGCTATACTAATTTACCCAAGGTGATTCATCCCAAAGAGAGGGTTCATATTCATTATTAGTAAAAGTAATGCATGGTTTGAGTAGTAATAGGACCTTGTGAAGAACAGCTGTAGTGTTATGAATGTCATCTTTATTCAGTATCATCAACTCTCACAATGCTATTGTGAGTCCCATGATATTTGGAGTTTTTCTTATAGCTTCATCCCATGGAGGCACTTGATTCTGTAAAAAAGCTAAGCTTTCATTGTTGTTGTTTTTTCTATTTTAAGTAAATTTCTCACCTTCCTGGTTGCAGAGAAAAAAACTTGAAAACATAACCCAGCTGCTCCTTAAAGACTCAGAAACAAGAAGAAAATTAAAAGAACCCATAATATATTATGCATTTTAAATCTCATGGTTTTAAGCAAATCACACAATTTGTGCGAGTGGCAGCTGACTCCTGTTTTTTGAATGCATGGGGTAGGCAACCTGTCTTGCTATATGCAGCTATTTTATTGACTTTGATTTATTTTCATCTGTATAAAACTTTGAAAAAGTAATACCTGGACAGCAGCAAATACAGAGATTGAACATATGAAAAGAAATGGTGCAGATTGAAATCTTCTCTCATGTGCAGTGTTTGGTTGTTTTCTACCTTCTTTATCTATTCATTTCAGTTTACTGGTAGAATCCTGGCCTTCCTGGTCTAAGCATGGGATTGAGAGCATGGTTAAAGGCCATGTAATTTAAGAGTAATATGAAATTAAACAGAGTATAAAAACATTTGGAAAAATCTCCAGGCAGTGATATCTGTTAGGCTCTAGAATAGACTCCCTGAGGGAAATGATGAGAGCTTTGTTTGCTTGGGATTTTTAAAATGAAAGGGAACATAGCCATACTAAATTTACTGAAGAGAACATTGCTATGTTGGCAGGAGGATTCACTAGATGACCTATAAGGACTTACCCAGTTCTCATATTACTATGATTCTCTCATACCATTTCCTTCTTCATAATACAGAGAAGGATTTGTTTTGTTTGCTTCCCCTCCCTCTTCCCCTCAGCTTGTAGTCAAATGCAAAATGAGCGGGTTTTTTTCCCCCAAGTTGAAGTAGAGGAAAAACCTCCTCTTGGAATCAAGTAAATAAGGTCTTTTTATGAACAGAGAAGCCTGTTTGGTAGGGCTTTATTTGTGCTACCCCAGTTGGGAGGTGATTCACCTGAAGCAGAAACTGTTAAATTTGCTGATTTGTGGATAAGTAGTTCATAGAGGGTCCTATAGAAAAGGCAGCCCTGTGGAAAAACCTGAGAAAATCCTATGTGAAAATTAAATTCATAAATACTTCAGCAGGGAAATTCATAATTTGCTGACGAAGGAAACTCACATATTGGATATAACTGCGGACCAGATTATACCAGATCGGTTTTCCTCCAAGGGTATGACATGACTTCTGTACTGTTAATGTAACAGACTTGGTCCTTACTAATACCCAGATACTTCTGCTGGATGTGGATAGAAGGAAGTTGGACCCTAAGGAGAAATTCTTAGTGCCTTATGGCCGACAGAAATCAATTCCTTCCTGCAGCAGTTCAAAACAAGCTGTGTTGAAACCAGGTCATGATGCAATAACACCTCTATAGATAAAGGACTGATACAGTGAGCCTAATAGGAGTGTTTGAAGTGAGAAATATCCTGTCAGGATGGCTGTTTAGCGTAACTCTGGTTCAAACTGAACCAAAGAGCAAGTTCTGGGTAGTAGCAATGAATGTAACAAAGAGGTGCAGCTAGGGGAAAAATCAGACCACAGAGTTCAATGTAGCTGATGTTTCAAAGCCAGATAGAAAGAGCTGTAAAACAACTCAGTAATAAAGCTAGGGTGTTGACAAAATTATTTATAGAAGCCAAACAGAGGAAGCAATCACTGCTATTTTGTGTGCTAGTGTCTTATTCAAGAATAATGATGATCTTGGGAAAATTAGGATTAGGGGTCACATCAAATCATACTGAAACCAGGGAATGTTTCTGTGATGCAGAACCCAACATCAAATTCCCATGGCATGTTAGGCAGTGGTGTAAGAGAAGCAAACCTGCATGCTGGAGGATGGCCTGATTGAACTGTCTATATAATCTTTTGACATCCTCAGTTATTATTGTAAAAAACACAGTGGAGACCTGAGAATGAATGTTGATTCCAGGAGTCTTAATCCACAGACTGTTCAAGATAGCCGCTCATTTCCTCATGTGACAGACACTGTGGATAAAGTGTCAGGAACAAAGCTTTCTAATATATATTTTTTGGTATCTGGATACTATTAGATAAAAATGATACCTGGGGATAAAGGGAAAACTGCCTTTGTGACATTCTATGGATTGTTTCAATTCTGTAGAATGTCTTTTGGACACTTAAATGCACCAAGGACATTTTAGAGGGTAATAAATATCTAACCTAAGTTTCAAGAACTTAAAAGCATCTTCACATAACTGATTTCTTTATTTCCAAGAAACATTTTGTAGCTGTGGAAAGGACTCTAGAACTTTTTAAGGAGGCAGCATCTTCTTAGGACATACAGGCAATGAAGATAGACAATAAGGACTGTAAAGTCTCTACAAATCTGGAGGAGGTGCAGGAGTTTGTAGGTCTCTATGGCTTCTACAGGAGACTGGTGCAAAAATTTAAAGGGCAAAAAAAACTGTGTCTAGGCTGAGGGTAACATCAAAATGTATTTGAGTCACTGAGGCAAAGACTTATAAAACATGTTGTGCCTAAATTCCTGGGTCTACCCCATCCATTGTGGATGTTGTTGGCTTTGCATTTGAACAATTTGATGAGCACAAGCAGAGCATGAGCAGATAGGTTTGGGAGGTCACAAAATACATGAGGAAAATCAAGTATATGGCTACATAACTAGATTGTCTGGCTATTATGGAGGCCCCAAAGACCTGTTATCTGTATGCACTGGGTATAGAATGTGTGATGTGAATTGTGTATTGTCCCTTGAATGGATCTTGAATGGTCTATAGACTAAGTCACCTGGAGTCAAAATGTGTCCAAAATATGGCTGCAGAGGTTTTCAGTCGAGTGAGAGCGCTAGGAAGAGACTGAGCTTGTGACATCAGGCAGGATCAGTCCAAGGACCCTGAGTTACTTTTTGTGTGCCAATGGATCTGCTAAAGGAGACTCACACTAGGAAGTTTTTATGCCAATCAGGAACCATTACTCACTGATCTGGTTACAAGTTTGCACATATATGAAGGTAACAGACCTGTTTTGGCGGCAAGCTTTCATAGAACACTACTAAATCATCAGCATGATAATGAAGCAGGAGGCTACTTGGATTATGAAAAGACATTGTGCTAAGTATTTGGTAGATTTTTTTGACTGGTCATGGCTGCAGATGATATATACCAAGTACTTTTTTGTCTTATTTGTCATGCAAGAAGAATGCCAACAAAAAGAAGCCAAACTTTTTTGGGGAAAATTTCTTAACTTTCTAAGTCCTGGACACAGATATATTTGAAAGATATATTACCAAAAACACCAGCTAGAAATTGTCACTTGCTGGTAGGATGACACTTTTTCAAAGTGTATCAAATCACAGCCACTAAATGATAAAAGGACAGAAAGAGCTACACATGCACTGATTGAACATGCAGTGTTGCACTTCAGCCCACCAAGATGCACCTGCAGGGGTCAAAGAAAGGGATTTGAATCACAGTTATTATCTGATTTTTGCCAACAACTCCAGATAATCAAGATAGGGACCAGTATAGTTCACTCTGTGGATACAGAAATAACACCACTGATACCAGGTTTAGTGTCTTACTCAGTGAAGATCAACAAGACTGGAAGAGAAAGACACATCTTTGTAATCTTTGCATATAACACTAATCTATCCTTTTCTCTCCTTAAAAATTATTTGTAGACACTGCAAATTCATGCTTCCCTTTGACATTATGCTTAGGCAGCAAGAACTTGCAAAGCTGTTTTCAACTTCATGGGTGGGGGATGCAATGCACCCTTCTATCTGTGACCTGAAGGACAGCATTTGAGAAAATTAAATAATATTTGAGATTGAAACAAGTGTGTCAGGCACAGGATACCATGGAAAAAAAGAATTATGAACCCATTTGGAGAGGGAGAGGGAGAGTGAGTGTGGCTGTACAGCCAGGAAATAACCCTCAAACTTACTCCTTTTGAGGAGGAGCTTACACAATAATTAAGAAAGGAAACAATTTAATTTCACTACTGATACAACACATTACAGCTCATGTCTATAGTATATCAAGAACTGGTGCATAGATTCACTGAAAGAAAGGAAAAGAAAAAATGCTAAAGAGGCTTAGTAGAGGGATGCAAAAAATAATTTGAAAAGATCCAATCAGGTTCCTATAGCTTGTAACTGGGAGGTTGGATGTAGAGGGGAATTGCTGGTATGTTCTTAGGACCTCCACAGAGCAACATTCCAAAGAAAGTCTGCCCACAATGAATCAGCCTGGCCTAGAGGATATATATAAGCTCTCTAGTTACTCATCATTTAAATGAAGGTATAAGAAATATACCCACGACTGAATGTAGGACTTGTGGATGGCAAATCACCTGGATTTCTAGCTATGACAACAGGAATGAGACTTTTGCTTCCAATTCTTGTTCATTGCAGTGGAGAAAGTTGTAGTCAGTGCAGATGGTCAGTGCAGATATCATTTGTAGATAGTACTGTATCTTTTCCGTAGTGCTAAGGGTTTTATCTAATTCTGTGTCATGTTATTGTCCCTAACTGGGGAAACTAAAAAGAAAGTTAAGGTCTGTCTTTGTGGATTTTAATTACTACTCTCAAAGTCTCAATAAATCATTTGATTGCTATAAGCAAGAATTACAATCTCTATCATTATGGAAATTAATGTACTGTTCACTTGTGACGAAGTAAAACAATAGAACCGTCAGTGTTAACATTCAATTAAGATAAATGGGAGAAGTTAACTTCAAAACCTACTTGTGACAAATTAAATTCTTGGAGTGTAAGCAAATATCTTTATGAGCAGCTACCACTGTAAACACTGAAAACATTAGACTGTTTCAGGGGCATACGGGTGTATTCAACCAAAGACAAACTTCTGAAATAAATTATTGTGTAGAACCAGCAATTGGAATTCCTGAAATATAATTTGAATGCTTCTCTTGAAAGGAAATAAGTAGTGGGATAAGCTGAGTATTGAAATGAATATTCCTCAATCCTTTCTGCTTTCATTTTTCCATTTGCTAATGTTAAAAACATCAGAGGTTCTTTTCGCTTTCTAGCATCATACTGAATGACAGTATTTCAATTACATAAGATATGAATTCATTTTGAAGTATTGCTTAAATGCAGTAATAAGAGAATATTCTTTGGAAATTATTCTCTGAAGACGGAGTGAGAAAATTTTGAATAAATACTCAATTTACTATAGGATTTGAGGCAAATTTCAGCATAAGAGATTGGATTGGTACCATACAGATGTGCTCTGCTTCACTGTTTAGAATTAGCAATTTGATGAACTGTCAAATCACAAGGCTGCTGATGAGTCTATTCATATTGGAGAGACAGGGCGAGATAAGCACCTAACTGTGTACTTCAGTGAATGATTATCCACTAAGAGCAAACAGGAAGCAGTTCTATCATATTTCAGATATAGAAATGAAAGCTTTAATGACGTAAAGCCACAAAAAATCATAGGGGATGGCTGTGTAAATTACAGGAAATTCATCATTAAATTCTATTATAATTTATTTTGATTATTAGATAAATTAATTTTTGGTTTGTCTTGAGGCTACCAATACTGAAAATAAGCCAAAACTGTGAAATTTGTTGTTATAACTCATACAAGCTCCCCTTGCTGGCAGATGCTTCTGTACTTGTTCAAACCTAAGGCCCTGCATACTCTTTGCCTGCTGGGGAGATGGGCAAAATTCAGAGTAGAGGTTCTCAACCTTTTAAGATTCAGGGCAATCCTCCATAACTTTTTTGTATGTGATGGCACCTCTGCTGAGAAACGCATTGTACTGCCTCCACTTACCTCAGTGGTTCTCAACCAGGGTTTGCAACATGAGTATTCAGGGTTGAACCAGGGAGGGATGTGGCAAACTGGGCACTCCTGCCTGCCTTAGTTTTATCAGATAACCCACAGCCTTTCCTGGTCTGGTGGCAGCTTCACCCAGTTGCAGCAGCGGTGGTGGCAGTGTCCATGCTGTAACAAAGCTGTTGCATTACCTAGTTGAGAAACACTGGCTGAATCAGTTTCTTTGGCTCTAGGCTTCTGGGAACACAGTCCAAGTGTGAGCCCTGTGTTTGACATCCTCTTTGGAAGTGGGGACCCCATGGCCAAGGCCCCAAAACCAGCTCTGACTTGCCCATGTGTCTCAGCAAGACCTTGGGCACCCACAAAATTTCCACCAAAGCCAGAGACCTCTTATTTACTGTTTCCTTAGTTAGGGCTATATGATGAAAGCAAATCACATGCAGATTCACATGCAGATTCTGCCAATATATTTCTAAGCACACAGAACTTTTAACTCATGCAGAAAGCATCATAGGTTTACTAAACCTTGAAAAATATTTAATATCTGCACACAACTCCCTCCCTGACTCCCTCCACTATTGTAACCATTCTAAGAGAGCTCTAGATTTTGGTCAGTCCTTTCTAGGTCCCCAGTCTTCTCAGTACCAGCCTGCTGCCCATCTTCTCTTATCAGCTGGTCAGTTTGCGAGAGAAATGTACTAAGAGCAGACTTTTTCCTTTTTTTTTTTTTTAACAACTGTTCAGTCACTTGTGTCATCTCAACTAAGCCATAGTGGTCACTTCAAGCAAACATTTCTTATGAAATGATCTGTTGCTTAATTTCCCTAACCTATAGTCCAGATTGGGAAGAATAGTTTCTTATAGCATAGCTAACCCCAGTAGCAGCCCCAGAATACTGGCATAGAAATTCATTAAATGTTAATGACCATTGATCACTCTATGCTGTTCATTCACTGAAAACACCTCTTGGGACTCCAGTCCAATATGAGGCCAAAAAAACCAAAAGGGCTTCACAAAATTAAATTGAGTTTGAAGTTCATTATAAGTACTTACAAATATACACTGAATCATCATCATACTCATGCAATTGGCTGCATTTTGTTTACTCTGCATGTTCGCTGATATCTTGCCCGTGGTAACAAAGGCATAAATGCACAAATTGGAGTAGAGGTCCAATCAGAAAAAATGTCTAGTTTTGACACTAAAATAATTTTAAACCTAATTCTCTCTCAGCCATGAACTTGGTTCTACTAAAGATATCACCCACAAAAATCCTTACCTATTTCCTGCAAATTTCCTGGGCCATCATGGCTACAACCTCACTCCAACACAACGATCTTAATCCTTTTATTTAGCCTATCAGTATTATAGGCTAGGGACAGACATTACACACAAACTGGTTTAAGTGATCAAAAACTGGCTTAAACCTATAACAGAACAGAAGTTCAGTGCACATAAACCAGTTTGAAAATGGCTGAAAACGGTTTAAGATAAACCTGGTTGAATGTAGTATCAGACTTAACTGATCTGGGTCAAATCGATTTATGCAGCATCTGTCCCAGATCCCTTCCTGGTTTAATTTAAACCAGAGTGCCCCAGCATCCCAGATGATTTGCAGCCCTGGGCAGGGCTCTCGGTTTCACAGCACCAACTTAACAGGGGCATCAGAACTGCTCCCACCATCGCAGACTCTATGCCTCAGCAGCAAGAGCAGCCATACAGCATTGCTCTTGCAGGAGCAGCTGGGTATAAGAGCAACAGCTGGCAGTGGTGTTAGAAGCCAGGGGCTGTTTTTTAGTCCCCAGCATGGATAAAACTCCTATGCCTTCCCCTCCCACTCAGTTCTCAGAACCATACCCTTATGGCACTCTCCTTGCCTGCACTTTCCCGTGCTTTCCTGCAGGGTTGCCTAGGGCACAAACCCTGCTTGTTATACCTCTACCAAACACAAAGGTAAGGCATTAAGGAGTTAATATTAGTTATTTGTCACCAAATTGAAAGAAGTTTTAGGATTTTTTAATCAAAGATAAGAGGTACAAACCTGGAAATGAAGTATCTGGTTTGAGCTAAATTTGGAAAGTTTGGATTTATTGCATCTCATTTGAATTTCAGTGTAGGTCATTTTACTACTAATCAGCCCAACCACATTTTATTTTTATTTGTATGTAGTTTATTCTAGCTGCTTATAATGCATAACTCTTTCAAAAATTCTTAACAAAAGATATTTTCTTTATGTTCAGTATAGGTGGTTCAATATTGGTAACCAAAGTAGATTGTCATAAAACTGAACATAAAATGCCATGTGGTTTTATTCTCTATGTGATAAGTTTTTTTAATTACAGCTCTGTTTTCTTGTTTTTAAAAAGATGCCAGTGGTACATCAAGGCCAAAATGAAGTCTGAAGAGAAAAGAAGGGCTCATTTGCAAAATGGGCATTGTAAGTTGTGCAACATTTTATTACTTAATGCCTTTCTCATATTTTAAATAAAACTAAGCATTGCTTTCTCTACACCTTTTGTCCATGCTCCTGTTACAGTTAGGATCTCTTTTTTATCTGTGGATTCTCTTCTCGAATTTCATTGAAATATTTACATTTATTATAGTGAGCATTTCAACATTAGTACAGTTCAATAATTTTTCAGGCTAGTGGGCAAAATTACAGCTGATGTGAAATGTGATGTGTGTTGTGTGTACACACACATATTATATATGGAGGGATATATACACAGATAGATAGATAGATAGATAGATAGATAGATAGATAGATAGATGCAAGGATGTGGCTTAAGACTAACAAAACCTTACTGACATAACTATGCCATCATTTTTATAAACCCATGGGCAAAGGGCATGTGCATACAAAGAGTGGAATCTTTAGAAAAGTCATTATACCCACATATCTGTGTGTGTGTGTGTGTGTGTGTGTGTGTGTAATGACTTTTCTAAAGATTCCACTCTTTGTATGCAAATGCCCTTTGCCCATTGGTTTATAAAAATGGTGGCATAGTTATCAGTCAGCAAGTTTTTGTTAGCCTTAAGCCACATCCCTCCTTACAGAAGTATAAGGATCATTACAATGACTAAAGAACCAGTGATTAAAGCTGCCTGTTGTGAGACAGTAATGTGCACATCGGCAACGAACACTCTCAGTGCCTGTTATGTGCTTCAGAAATATATATCCTGGGGTGCTGTTCTCAGTGCTACTTGTCTCCAAGCTTGTCCAAAAAGCTCTGGGGGCAAGGCTAAAACTCTTCTTGCTGGAGGCTTTGATACAGGCCTTCTCAGCCTCTAGGAGGTCGTAAGAAAAGCCTCAATTTCCTCATGTCTGAAAGTTCCACTTTTAACTCTTAGTCCACTGCAAGGTCTCAGGCTGCTTCTTCTCAGAGGCTTCATTCATTTACCACTACTTCAACATTGATGTCTGTCTGAGGTAGAAAGGTGTACCTCTCAAGAGAAGTTTGTTCCCTGGGACCTGAGAAGCAAAGAATCACCTTTATTCTGTCCCCGTTCAGCCACAAAATTGAAAAGACTCATTCCAGTACTCCAGCTAGTACCAATGTATAGGAAAGCTTTGACAGTTTGGACTAAAACCACAAAACTGTACTGCTCATGGCACTGTCCTTGTGGCACTTAGAACCTCAGTCCAAAATACCTCCATATCATATACATCCTTCATAGTTTCAGTAACCTTCTCAGCATCACCTATGTCTTTAGTGTCCAAGATCTTGATATTTATGACCTCAGCACCAAAATCCTATATAATAGAGTGATTTCTTCTGGTCTTGATACAAGTCACTTTCATTGGAAGACGTGGGGAGGTCATTATAAAGCAACCTGCTGGAGGGTTGGCAACCTGAACCAACCTCCCCTATTTACAGGTCCTAATTGGATTGTCCCTTTCCCCCGGAGGTAACATATTTATTTTCCTATCTTCTGTCAAATAGAGCAGAGTATCATCTCCTCCATGTCCCCCATCTCCTCCTTAAGAAGCTCAGTGGGAGGTAGGGAAGTATTCTAAGGAATACACCCTTATGCCTCTGAAACAGTCTAATGTTTTCAGTGTTTACAGTGGTAGCTGCTCGTGAAGATATTTGCCTACACTCCAAGAATTTAATTTGTCACAAGTAGATTTTGAAGTTAACTTATCCCATTTAGAGGAGTTAGGAAGAGGTCAAAATTTCATAGGTGTCACTTCAACTAGTACCTTCTGATGTACCATCCACCCATATACCATAAGAGTCATGGGTGACTGCTGCTTTCTGAGTCTGGGGGGTCTCCCAGGGGCCAATCACTACACCAGTGGCAAAACCGGAAGTGCACTTCCAGTTTCGCGGATGGCACTTCCAGGGGGTACATGCATCGCCAATGATAAGAATACTCCTCACTGTGTCAGTCACGGCCATTCTAGACCACCCAGCAATCTGTACCACCCCATTCCAAGAAGCCAGCTTAATCCATTGTGTCCTGGGTCCTTTATCTAAGCAGAAGATTTGGCTTATTTGGATAACTCTGCTTCTTCAACCTCAGAGGCAAGAGAAAGATAATGGAGAAGAAGATAATTCACTCAACAAGGAGCATGTAATGCCAGCTGCTATTCCTTATTTTCTCCTGATGAGACAATGAACCCACCTACATCAGCTTCTGCCTTCCAAATATTAGAAAAATACATTTCAAAAGCTTTAATATTTTCCTCAAAATGGCCAAGGGAAACAACAGAAACTCTTGGACATACTTTACTCAACAACACCAGGGAGTTTAGCCATGCCAATAAATGATGGCCTGTTGAAGCCTACCAAATCCATCTGGCATCAACCTGCTTCAATCTCAGCCATCTCCAAGAGAGGAGACAGAAATTATCAAGTCTTTACAAATGGTTTTAAACATTTTTGTTCCCATCTCTCAACTAGCCCTCTGGTTATGCAAGCTGTTCAGGAGAAGGCAAAAGACTAAATCCCTCTAAAATCCATCTCCAGAGAAGAGAATTCCCTAAAATTGGATCTGTTCATCCAAAAGACTATTCAACCATGACTTTGCAAGTGAGGGTAGCAAATTACCAAGTGCTGTTTTGAAAATATTGGACAGATGGTTGTATTTTGTTGATAAATTGTTCAAGGAATAAACGTCAAGATGAGTTTAGATCTGTTATAATGGAAGTCCAGCTGTCTTAGTGGGGCATCTATGCTATTGACAGCACCTTTGACTCTGCTCTACATATCTCTGGGCACTCCTTTGTAATGGTAGGTTCAGTACCTACTCTTCTTTCAGATTGGAGTCCTGTAATACCCTGCACTTCTTCACTGGGTCTCCACGTTACAGCATTAGAACTGACTGATGCTCCAGAGATTTCTCATCATGAAGTATGATAATGATGACAATGTAGAGACCAGACAGCTTCATCCAAACGAAATACTTGATAGCAGTCAGAGATAAAACAGTCAAAATAACAAAGGGCTAAATTCATACTATCTTATGTAAAACTTAATATTTGCCTCAAAACTTAAATAGCCATAGATCCCTTTATTGCCTGTCATAGGATCATAGAAAATTAGGTTGGAAGGGACCTCAGGAGGTCATTTAGTCCATCCCCCCTTGCTCAAAGCAGGACCATCCCCAACTATCTCATCCTAGCCAAGGTTTTGTTTACCCAGGTCTTAAAATCCTCCAAGGATAGAGATTCCACAATCTCTCTGGGTAGCCTGTTCCAGTGCTTTACTACCTTTCTAGTTGGAAAGACCTTCCTAATATCTAACCTCATCTTCCCTGGCTGCTCCTTGCTCTGTCACTTGCCACCACTGAGAACAGTCTAGCTCCATCCTCTTTTGAACCTCCCTCCAGGTAGTTGAAGGATACTTTTAAATCCCCTGACAGTCTTCTCTTCTCCAGGCTAAATAAACGCAGTTCCCTCAGTCTCTCCTCAAAAATCATGTGCCCCAGCCCCCTTACCCTTTTTGTTGCCCTCCACTGGACTCTCTCCAATTTGTCCACATCCTTTCTGTAGTGGCCCCAAAACTGGACATTTTATTCCAAATGTGGCCTCACCAGTGCTGAATAGAGGGGGAGAATCACTTCCATTGATCTGCTTGTGATGTTCCTACTAATTCATCCCAGTATGACATTAGCTTTCTTCAAAATGAGGACATGCTGCTGGCTCATATTCAGCTTATTGCCCACTGAATCCCACAGGTTTTTTTCTGCAGAGCTGCTGTTTTGCCAGTCAGTCCCCAGCCTGTACTGGTGTCTGGGATTCTTCCATCCTAAGTGATGGACCCTGCACTTCTCCTTACTGAACTTCATGAGATTTCTTTTGGTCCAATCCTCCAATTTGTCAAGGTCTCTGAATCCTAGCCCTACCCTCCAGCATGTCTAGTACTCCCCCCAGCTTGGTGTCATCTGCAGTCTTGATGAGGGTGCTCTCCATCCTATCTTCCAGGTCACTGATAAAGATATTGAACAAAACTGGTACCCAAATCGATGCAATGCCCTTTGGGGCATTGCACTTGATACTGGCTGTCAACTAGACATTGAGCTATTGACCACTACCCTTTGAGCCCAGTGATCCAACCAGTTTTCTATCGACCTTACAGTCCACTAACCCAATGCATACTTCCTTAGCTTGCTTGCTAGAATGTTGTGGGAGACTATATCAGAAGCCTTGCTAAAGTTGAGGTATTTTGCGTCCACAGCTCTCCCCACATCCACAGAGTCAGTCATCTCATCATAGAAGGCAATCAGGTTGGTCAGGCATGACTTCCTCTTGGGGAAACTTGCTTACTCTTTATAACCACCTTCTACTCCTCCAACTGCTTAGAAATGGATTCCTTGAAGACCTGCTCCATGATTTTTCCAGGGACTGAGGTGAGACTGACAGGTCTGTAGCACCTCACCTCCTCCTTCTTCCCTTTCCTAAAGATGGGCATTATATTTGCCCTTTTCCAATCATCCAGGACCTCTCTCAGTTGCCACAAGTTTTCAAAGATAATGGCCAGGGGCTGCACCATCACATCAGCCAACTCCCTCAGCACCCTCCAGTGCATCATATCTGGCCCCATGAACTTGTATATATCTAACTTCTCTAAATAGTCCTTAACATGTTCTCTTGCCACTGCTAGCTGTTCACCTCCTCACCAAACTGTGCTGCCTGATGCAGTCTGGGAGCTGACCTTATCTGTAAAGACTGAGGTAAAAAAGGCTTTGAGTACTTCAGCCTTTTCTGCATCCTCTGTCACTAGGCTGCCTCCCCCATTCCATAAGAGACCCACACTTTCCCTGATCTTCCTCTTCTTACTGACATACTTGTAGAAACCCTTCTTGTTACTCTTCACGTCCCTTGCTAGCTCCAACTCCAATTGTGCTTTGGCCTTCCTGATATCATCCCTGCATGCCTGAGCAATATTCTTATGCTCCTCCCTCATTGTGTCCAAGTTTCCATTTCTTGTAAGCTTCATTTTTGTGTTTTAGTTCACTGAAGAGCTTCCTGTTAAGCCATGCTGCTCTTCTGCCACATGTGCTAGTCTTCTTGCACATTCCAATGTTGCACTTTCAGTAAGGTTTCTTTAAAATACAGCCAGCTCTCATGAACTCCTTTCCCCCTCAAACTGGCTTCCCAGGGTATCCTGCCCATCAGTTCCCTGGGTGAGTCAAAATCTGGTCTTCTGAAGTCCAGGGTCCATACTCTGCAGCTCTTCTTCCTTCTTTTCTGCATGATCCTGAACTCAACCATCTCATGGTTGCTGCTATCCAAGTTGCCATCCACTGTTACATCCCCTACCAATTCTTTCCTGTTTTTGAGCATCAGGTCAAGAGTACAGACCCTAGTTGGCCTTTCCAACACTTGCACCAGAAAGTTGTCCCCAACACTCTCCAAAAACTTCCTGGATTGCCTCTGCACTGCTGCATTGCCCTCCCAGCAAATATCAGATTGACTGAAGTCCCCCATGAGAACCAAGGACTGCAATCAGGAAACTTTTGCTAGCTGTTCAAAGAAAGCCTCGTCCACCTTATCTTCCTGGTCTGGTGGTCTTTAATAGATACTTGCCATGACATCACCCTAGTTGCTCTCTCCTCTGACCCTAATGCAGAGACTTTCACCAGGCCTGTCTGCAGTTCATACCAGAACTGTGAGCAATCATACAGCTATTTTACATAAAGCACAGCCCCTCCTCCTCTTCTCCTCTGCCTGAATTTCCTGAACAGTTTGTACCCATCCATGTCAGTGCTCCAGTCATGCAAGCTATCCCACCAAGTCTCTGTTATTCCAGTCATGTCATAAGAACATCACTCTCTGGCTTTCCACTGAATCATCTAGGAGGACTGGAGAGATTCAGGTTCTTATGTCATGTCATCTCTATGCCATGTTTTGCCATGAACAAGGGAACCTTTATACTTCACCCTAAATTCCTACCCCAGGTATCTGGAATTCCCTGTAAATCTACTTTTATATTAATTGCATCCTAGATTTATTCTTTTAGTCTTTCTCTCTTGCTGTCTCACTCTTGCTGTCCTGAATAAAGCAAAGACATACATGTAGCGAGAGCTTTGCCATTGTGTTTAGATAAAACAAAATCATTCAGTAGTGCATAAACTATTCAAGGCATCTGATGCCAGGGTAAAAGGGAAGACTTATAGATGTTTTGTTTTCCCAGTAGGTGTCTGACTTTGTCCAAGCTAACATTTCTCCTAGAGCTCATTCTGTTAGACCTCAGCAAGCTTTCTCTCTGCCTGTCAAGAACGCATATCTGAAATATGTAGAACAGCTATGTGGACCTCAATCCCACACATGCATGATTTTGCTTTCCCTCATGTAGGTCAGTTTTGTAGGACTGTCCTGAAATTATTAATCAAGTAAAACGTCATGTACCTACTTCCAGCACATATACAACTGCTTATAACAGTGGACAAAAATTGAAGAAAGAACATCCATTGCTCAGCCCATAGTAACCATGGTTCTTTAAGTTGTGCTGTCAACACAGGTTCCACAAGCTGTTTTTCTGACTTTTTACTGTGGAGAATCTCAAGCATAAGGATTGAGTGGTCAGCTGAAGGATTCATACATCAACAGCCATGATTACAATCCTGTCTGATTTGATCCTTTTGTTGTCTGTGGAGCTCATTTCTGTCATATTCACTCATATTGAGGAGTAGATTACTCCTTAAGTAATTCCACTGAATTATTATTGTACTTATCACATAGCAAAGTCACCCTAAATGTGAGGGCAACAGACTCACATCCCAGATTATAAACCACACTTAAAAGTAGGGTGCCATGCATCCTGGGACAGTCCCACAGATTACCAAGTGCTGCTTTTAAAATATTGGACAGATGGTTGTATTTTGTTGATAAATTGTTCAAGGAATAAACATCAAGATGACTTTAGATCTGTTACAATGGAAGTCCAACTGTCTCTGGGATGTCTATACTATAGACAGCACCTTTGACTCTGCTCTGCATCTCAGTCATGCATTTCAGACTTCCTGCATTTCATGACAGTCCTGCATTTGACAGGCTAGTCCCAGCCGGCTGGTAAAATTTAAAATGAGCTTCTCAGGCATGGAGTGTAAGGTGGGGAGGCAGAGTGGCACAGTCTGTGAAATCGGAAGCCCTAGCAGACAGCAAAATTGCCCTAAAATAAGTTAGTTTATTTAGTGGGGTAATGATTGTTAACATCTGTGAAGTAAAGAACAATGGATCATTAATGGGTCATTGACTCCCTTAGCTGCCTGAATAGTAATGCTAGAGCTGCACCACCCCCAACCCCATCCCTGCCTCTGCCTGCAGAACCATTGCTGACTTGAGGGGGATGGAGACAGTTCCCTGGATTTGACATTGTCCCATATGGTCACCCTACTTTAAAGCCTGGTGGGAGTTCAGAAGGGGAAGGGACTCCTATTTTTAAATCAATGGATGGGTTTTCATATTGGTAAGTCCTGGATTGGTAGATCTGAAGTCCTCTATTGATCCAAATATAGACTTTTACTCCTGTTGCCTCATTTCCTCAGTATCTCTGAAGTCTCGCCTAGAAAGACCTTGAGGGTGTGAGGGACTTTTATTTTCATACTTATTTAATCCTTGGAAGATCTGTTACTGCCAATACACTTGCCACCTGTTGTGCATTTCTGAGATTAGTTTTAGTAATTTTTAGTCACTATAATTTTCAGTTTGTATGTGACAACTGTGATAACCTTAATATGTTTTCTTTCTTTGCAGTGCGTTTCCCAGGTGTCAAAACATACATTGATCCAGACACATATGAAGACCCCTCTCTTGCTGTCCATGAGTTTGCAAAGGAGATAGATCCTTCAAGAATTCGTATTGAGAGAGTAATTGGGGCAGGTAAAAGCACGCTTATTTAAAGATCATTAACAATGATAACTGCCTCTCTTAGACAACTGCCATTTTCAAATCACAGCACAATGCTAGGTGATCAGATATTTTATGAAATGTGTACAGTTTCCCATTTCCCAGTGCACTCCAAAACAACTCTTACACTCAGATCTATGGTGCAGTAATAGAAAATGTTCCTATCCTGCCAATTCAAGAAAGCAGGACAAGGTGTATTCTACTCTGACAAACCTAGATGAAGGAAGTGGGAGCCAGTTATTCCCACAAGACAATGGAAATCTGGCTGATAAAGGCCAATGAGCTTCCTTCCACATAATACGTCCAGATAAGTGGTACATGGAAAAGATGGACTGTGAAGTTCTCTCTATCATTCAGCTGCTCCTGTTTTGCTTGTTAGAGACCTGTGCTGGGTTTCCTCTTTCCTCTTCAGTAAAAGGAGAACAGCAATCACAAGTGGACCATTAGTCTTCCTTCCCTTCATAAACTGGGTAAGGTAATCTAGGGAACTTTGTCTCCAGAAAGCAAGTGTGTGTGACTTTAGGGATGAATGGATGAATACTCATAAGAAGGTATTTTTAAACTTTTCTTAAAAGGCAAAGAGCAAAGTTTTAGTTTGACTGCAGAGAACACTGGTGCCTATCTCATTTCTGAATTCAGAGAGACGGTCTCCAGAAAAGGATAGAGACATGAAGATACTTTATTACACTTAAAAGAACAATTTAGGGCAGGTAGGTATAGACAGAACAAATACATATTTGCCAAGTAATGGGTTAGAACAGGGGCAGGCAATTATTTTGGGCAGAGGGCCGCTTACTGAGTTTTGGCAAGCCATCAAGGGCCGCATGACAGGCATCCCAGGGCTGATAAATGTTAATTTTCTACATTTTTAGGGGCTCCGTGGGCCTGATAGAATGGCCTGGCAGGCCACATCCAGTCCCCAGGCCGCATTTTGCCTACCCCTGGGTTAGGAAGTAAATGGGATAGCATTGAAGCTATTACATGTCCTTTCATATAATATTATAGTGAAACGATAGCATTGCTAAAATATAAATTCAACCCCTTTTTGATTAAATATCCACCCTCCTGCATGCTCTAAAAGCCATTGGCTTACTTGGATTGTCCTGAAACTTAGTGTTGCTCAAGGAATTGTAGTGTATAATTACTGTTCCAAATTAGGAGATATTTGAATTAGGGTGCCCAATATACAGACTCCCCCTCAAAAGAAAACCTGTTTTTCATAATCTTGACAACTTCTAACTTTGTTTTTTACAGCTAGCTCTGATTGCCTCCCAAATGATCTCAGTCATATCTGTTTTAGCAGGGCTAGTATATCACACCTATTACTCTTAGGAGGAAACAAAATTAAAGATGCAAGAAAAGATTTGGTTTGCCTGACTGTGACACTAACTCATATGAACCAAGCGGATTATATTTTGCATGCAAGTACACGTATTTACAAGGCTTTCAAGCTCATCAGGATACAGATCACCTTGATGGGTGCTGAAATGACAATGAGCTGACAATGAACAGGTTTTGATACATGTGAGGCAGGGCACCTTTGGTGCCTCCCACTTTAAGAGGCTTAAACTGGCTGTGGAACAGCTGGCAGGTGTAGTGCAGCTTAACGAGGCAAACACATGACCAGAAAGGGACTCCTGGATTGGAGGAGGGAGCTGGGCAGCCTCACTATAAACCCAGGTCCTCAGAGCTGAGTGGGCAGTTGCTGCAGAGAGCCAGAGGGATAATATTGCCCAGCCAGAGCTCCTGCTCCCAGAACACCTGGAGGTTCAGGGTAGGAACTATGGGGATGGAGAAGGTTCCTGGTCCTGGAGCATGACCTAAAACTACACCCTTCTAGGGAATGATGGTGTGGTGGGGCTGTCTGTGGGTGGTCCCCAGGAAATGCCATGCCAGTGCCTCCCTGAGAGGTGATCTTGTGGCCACCTACAAATTCATTGGAGGGACAACAAGGGATAGGAGATGCTCTGTTTACCAGGGCACCCCTTGGAGCAACTAGAAATAATGGCCACAAACTGACAGAAAGAAGATTCAAGTCAGGAAGAACTTTATGTTAAGGGTTGCAAGAATCTGGAATGGGTTTCCAAGGGAAGTGGTGCTCTCCCCTATCTTGGGGGCCTTTAACAGGATACTGGATGAGCACTGACTGGGGTCATCTGACCCCAGCAGTCTTTCCAGCCCAGGGCAGGGGGTTGGACTCGATGATCTGCTGAGGTCCCTTCTGACCTTAACAGCTATGAATCTATGAAAGGCAAGCATGGGGTGCCATATAGCCTCAGCCCCATGACCTGGTGGGTTAACCTGTAGAGGGGGCAGGCAAGGGGTCCAGGTATGTCATCAGAGGCCTGATGCCCAAGGGGCATAAGGCCTAGTAGCCCAGGTGAGGGGGTGGTATAGTGGCCCCAGTAAAGAGGCATGTGTGTGTGGGCCGTGTAGAGTAGGGTCCACATAGTTGGGCCTGAAGGACTACGCATAGGCTGGCCTTAGTGATCGAGTGAGCTGTGTTTGGATGGGCCTGAGAAGGCAGACCCATATGAGAGGAAGAGGGCTAGCTGCTCAAGAACCTGACCAGAGAAACCCTTGACTGGTCAATGCTGGGGCCAGGACCAGAAGGTTCAAAGTGCCAGAGCACCCACTGCTAGGGACACCCAGAGCCAGGGGCCTGGGGTTCTGACTGGCCTAGAGGTGAAGCCAGGGTCTGTGTGGCCAAAGGTCCTAGAGGGGGCCACTGCCAAGAGGGTTCAGGGAGTTTGGCAGCCCAGAATGAGGGTGGAGATTAGACTGCCTGAGAAGGAGGGATCCAGCTTGGGGTCCAAACACCAGGTGGACATAGAAGGAGCATAGAAGGGCATAGGAGGTCCATCATGGGGCCGAAGCTATATAGTGATGCCATCTGTGAGGCAGGACATGGTATATGCGGAGGTTCAGAGACGTGTATTATTCCCTTAGCATCAGGCAGTAAATGGGCAGCCTCCCACCATATAAACAATTAATTAGATACATCAAAGTCATGGCAGGTGGGCGGACTGCCCTAGACAGGTGGGCAAGCCAATGATCTGAGTGGCCACGGAGATGGTTCCCTGTCACAACATATCACAGGCTCTTAAGGTTAACAGAGGTTACCACCTCTTTTTACACAAACCTAAGAAATCAGCCTCTGGTTCTGATTGCACCCCAAAGGGTCCCAGTTACCTTACCCTCACGACTGCCAGCTGTTGACCTCCACCACCGTTTTGGGAGGCAGTACTGAACATAGAACAAGGCTCAACAAGAAATCAAGATCTACAAATTGGCATAAGCTTAATGCTCAAAACCTCTGGCATTTATGCCTTTTTGGGCAGGTCTAAGTCCTCCCTACTTTTCTATATAAACTGGGATCTTGGAAGTCTGTCCCTCTAGTGAAACTGAATCCCTCTCTCCATCTCCCCAAGTGGGAGCCAAGATCCATGGAGCTCTTTGCATTTGGGGGAGTCTGAGTTTTTAAGTCCACTTAATATGGTCTCCTTTCCCTGTGCATGAATCAGGCTTGAGTGTAGGGACTGTAAACTGTGCAGGTCACCCAAATTTGAACATCCAGAACATTATAAGTACAAAATGAAGGTATGCATGAGTCATGCCTGACCAATCTGATTGCCTTCTATGATGAGATGACGGACTCTTTGGATGCAGGAAGAGCAGTGGATGTGATATACCTTGATTTTTAGCAAAGCTTTTGATATAGCCTTCCACAACATTCTGGCAAGCAAGGTAAGGAAGTAGAGATTGGATGAATGGACTGTAAGATGAATAGAAAACAGGCTGGATCATCAGGCTTAGAGGGTAGTAATCAATGGCTTGATATCTAGTTGGCAGATGGTATGAGATAGAGTGCCCCAAGAGTTGATCCTGGGGCTGGTTTTGTTCACTATCTTCATTAATGATCTGGAAGATGGGATGGATTGCACCCTTAGCAAGTTTGCAAATGACACCAAGCTTGGGGGGAGTAGTAGATATGCTGGAGGACAGGGCTAGGATTCAAAGAGACCTCAACAAATTGAAGGATTGAATCAAAAGAAATCTCATGAAGTTCAATAAGAAGTGCAAAGTCCTGCACTTAGGACAGAAAAATCCCATGCATGGGTACAGGCTGTGGACCTACTAGCTAAGCAGCAGTTCTGCAGAAAGGACCTGTGCCCTTGATGTGAAGAAGGCTAATGGCGCACTGGTCTGCATTAGTAGGAGTGTTGCCAGCAGATTGAGGGAAGCAATTATTCCCCTCTATTTGGCACTACTGAGGCCACATCTAGAGTATTGTGTCCAGTTTTGGGGCCCCCACTACAGAAAGGATGTGGACATATTGGAGAGAGTCCAATGGAGGGCAGCAAAGTGGTTATGGGGCTGGGTACATGACTTGTGAGGAGAGACTGAAGGAACTGGGCTTATTTAGCCTGGAGAAGAGAAGACTAAGAGGGGATTTAATAGCAGCCTTCAACTACCTGGAGAGTGACTCCAAAGAGCATGGAGCTAGACTGTGCTCAGTGGTGGCAGATGACAAAACAAGGAGCAATCATCTCAAATTGCAACAAGGAGGGTTGGGGTAGTAAAAAAAATGTGTGGAAAAACTCTCTCATGAGAAGGGTAGTAAAGCAGTGGAACAGGCTACTCAGAGGTTGTGGAATCTCCATCCTTGGAGGTAGACAGAGCTTTGACTGGAATGATCTAATTGGAGCTGGTCCTGCTTTGAGCAGGGGGTTGGACTAGATGACCTCCTGACGTCCCTTCTGACCATCATTTTCTATGATTCCCTGATTCTGTAATTTCATTATGTGAAGGGGGAACTGGCTGGAGGCAGGATGGAGAGAGCCAGAATACAAAGGGCACTGACTAGGAATATCAGGGGTCTGGATATAAGGCTTGGCTAAAGCAGGTATGGGTGAGTTTGTTGGGGAGTATAGTGAGGATATGGAGCTTACTAAAGTATCCATCTTGTGCTA